GATCGAATGGTATGGGATCATCCGTGTCCATGGTTCGCAGTTCCCAGCATTCCGCGAGGAGATCGGCATGTGAAGGTGGCAAGGCAGGGTCCAGGTCCATCAAAATGGCCTTAGTCTGTTCCACCCTGGAGATGTCCAAGGCTGGAAGCGGGTCCAGCTCCCCCAACTCCCTAGGCGTGGGAACTCGCAGCGGGTCAGTCTTGGCCGTGTCCCTGACGTTTCTCCATAGATCAAGCCACCGGTTGTCGGAAGTGGTGGTGGCATTGATGTCCGCCTCCGATGGAGGGGGATCCAAATCACCGGAGTTGTCGAAGGGGGGTTGGGGAGGGTGAGGAGTAGCCGGCGTGGGTCGGGGAGGGGGAGGGGGAGTGGAAGTGAAGGCCGCCGCAGGTGCTGGGTGAGGGGGCAAGCTAGTGTTGTGGTGGCCGGTGCGGGAAGTGGGGTGGGGGTGCTGCCCATGGTGCTGCAGTGGCCAGGACGATCGTTTGTCCTGGTTGTTTCGGTGGCCGGTGTGGCTGGCGCCATGGTGGTGCATGTCCCAGCGGTTTTTGTTCTGTGGTGGGTATCCCCACGATTGGTTCCGCCAGTGTGAGGAGGACCATTGAGACTTGTTGGAATCCTTCCCGGAAGTGCGCCAGGAGGTAGAATCATGAGTAGTGTGAGTGGGTCGGTGCGAAGTCGTGGCTCTGGGTGCAGGGGAGTGTCGATGGTGGGACCTGTGTCGGGGGGAGCGGGAGCGGAGGGAGACAGTGGAGTGGTGTGCACGTCGGGAGTGGGGGAGGTGTCGGGAAGGGGAACGTGACCTGCTGTAGCTGCGGGATCGTCGGGTGTCGTGTCGTCGGTGCGACTTGTTGTGCCTGCGATGGTGGCTGGTGTGGGAGTGGGAGTGTCGGTGCTGTCTGTGGCGGGAACGGGATCTGCGAGAGTGGGGATGGTGCCGAGTGTCCGGGGGAGGGTGGTTGGTTGATGAGGTAGCGGCAGGAGCCGCAGCGGCAGCTTCGGGCGCGCGCGCCGGCTGAGGCTCGGGCAGTGAAGATGGCATGCTGCTCTGAGTCATGAAAGGCATGATGGTGCCAGGTGCCAAGTTGCCGTAATTGGGAGGGCCACCGTAGGGCATCATGGTCATCGGGTTGCCAAAATTCGAGAGGCCGCCGTAGGGCATCATGGGGAAAGGTGTGAAGGATGCCGTCTGCGAGTTGGGCGACGGTACAAGGTTCATGGGCTGCGTCATCTGGGATGACAGCTGCAAGTTCGGTCCACAATTGCCTGGTGAGCCGGACGCGGTGCCGGTCGCAATGCTGTGCAGGAGCGAATGCATCATGTCATAGAGCTGGTGTCCAGCCATCTTGCAAGGGAGAGAGAAGGTTGGAAAGGGGTGAAAACAAAACCACACC